CTAGTATATCATCGATGAAAACAATCACAAACTTGTCTAAGTAAGGTTGATACACCCGATTCATCAGGTCCATAAATAATGCGGGTGCATTTATTAATCCGAAAGGCATCACTACAAACTCGTATTGACCATAGCGTTCTGAAGGCTGTCTTGGGAATATCCCCTTGTTGAACTCGTAGTTGATGGTACGTTGATCTAAGGTCAATCTTTGAGAAGAAACTTGCTCCTTGTAGCTGGTCGAAGAGGTCATTGATTCGAGGCAAAGGGTATCGGTTTTTAATGGTGAGTTTCTTTCTATCAGACTCACAATTGCAACTATAGTTAGCCAAGGTTTTTGATATAAAAACCGATTCGAGCGGTTTTTGGTTAATTTAAGGGTCGGGATGACCCGCTTGACTATAAAAAGTTTGAGAGAGATTTGGGAGAGATTTGAGAGAGATTTACTTTTAGCCATTTTAATCGAATAATCTTACAATGCAGGGTACGTGGACCCCATTATACTTTGTTTATGATTATTTTAAGTCCCTAAAATGGTCCATAGTTGTGATTTGATGCGTTTAACTCCCTTCTTAGAGTTTTAGATTGATAAACACATAGATTTATTGTGTCACTCGAATTCTTGACATACAAATGTTCGTTTTCATAGAATAACTTTTAATCATACAAGTATTACATAAGATTGACCGGTTTGATTTGTTTGTCTGACTTTGACTTGTTGACTTTGATTTGACTTGAATTTGATGGTTGTCACAGTAGAGGACATGATGAGAAGGGAGGTTCCTTGGATTGGCAGGCTATTACTGGAGATTCCTTCAGGACTTCTCAAAGATAGTCGTACCCTTGACCCAGTTGATGAAGAAAGTCGTGGTCTTTCGCTGAGGACCTGAGCAGCAGGCAGCATTTAAGACATTGAGGTAGAGATTGTGCGAGGCACCGATCTATCCCTGCTAGAGGGAGTGGATGATTTTGTAGTATATTGCGATGCATCTGTTTTAGGTTTGGGCATAATATTGATGTAGAGGGAGTATATCATCACCTACGCCTCAAGGCGACACATGATTTGGAGTTGGGGGTGGTTGTCTTCGCCCTCAAAATCTGGTGGCATTAACTCTGTGGGATCCGATGTACCATATACACGGACCACAAGAGCTTGAGGTAACTCATGGATCAGCTGAATCTGAACGTTAGGCAGCGTTGTTGGCTAGATGTGGTGAAGGATTACGATTATGAGATCCTCTACCACTCGAGGAAGGAAATTGTTGTGGCCAATGCGCTTAGTTGCAAGGCAACCCCGATCCAAGATATTTGGTTGAGGATGACGGTGGTGACTCCACTTTTGGAGCAGATCTGAGAGGCGTACGTTAAGGGTATGATGGTGGAATGCGGACCACAAGAGTTTGAGGTAACTCATGGATCATCTGAATCTGAACGTTAGGCAGCGTTGGTGGCTAGATGTGGTGAATGATTACGATTATGAGATCCTCTACCACTCGGGGAAGGAAAATGTTGTGGCCGATGCGCTTAGTCGGAAGGCAGTCCCGATCCAAGATATTTTCTTGAGGATGACGGTGCTGACTCCACTTTTGGAGCAGATCTGAGAGGCGCACGTTGAGGGTATGATGGAGGAGCGCTGGAAGTGCGAGCGGATCATAGGCCAGATGGCCTTTTTTTGATTATGATCGCCGCGGGTTGCTTACCCTGTATGGGAGGGTCTGGGTTTCGTACTAGGGTGGAGTACGGAAGATTTTAATGGATGAGGCCCACAAATCTAGGTTTTCCATCCATCCCTGTAACAACCCGTCATCCTCAATTCAATAAGAGTCAAAAATCTCATTTCAATGCTTATGTGTAAATATATCCTTTATTATCCCAAGGGCTTAATTATAAGTTAATAACTAAATATAGTTTAAGCCTTAGGTGAATCTTAATACTATAACTTAATATGGGTGAATAGTTTAAGGTTTAAATCAATAAATTAACTCCAAAGGGAGTTCACGCCTAGAATTAACTCCAAAAGGGAGTTTACATCCAAAATTCCACTCCAAAAGAGTGTTCACGGTCCAAGTGTAAACTCAAAAGGAGTTCACAGTCCATGGGAACTTCCCAAATGTAGTTCACAGCCAGAGTTAAAGTGAAAACAAGGGTTGACGGCCAAGCAATGATCGTGAACACCCCCTTATTGGGTTGAAAACCCCATTTTTAGTCCATTTGTGGATCGTAAACGGCAAGGCCGAATACCACTTCAACTGTAAACCCCATATATATATATATATATATATATATATATATATATATATATATATATATATATATATATATATATATATATATATATATATATATATATATATATAAAATCAATTTATTTCCCCACTTTTCAACCGTGAACCACTCCAAAAATCCTCTCAAATATCATCCGTGAACAACCCCATTTTCTCTCAATCTTCAAGGGTTTACGCCCAATTTTCTTCAAATATTTATATTCCCTAAGGTTGCAGAAATCGGGATTAATCACGGATTAATTGCTTGGCGTTCTCCAACCGATTAGGATTAGGGGTGTTTGAAGGTAATTGGTTAATATCGGTCAATGACGGGCTTGGCGGTCTTGGTGATCAACGACGGTCAATGAAAGTCAAAATTAGTCAAATATCAAAGGTGGTCAAAATTAAAAAAAGGCTCCAAAGGAAGTTAAATGTCAATTCTTCTAACCTTAGTATCACATTTCATCGCTGTTTTTGTCTTTTGACTTCTCTTTCAACTGTTGAAGCAAACATAAGAGCTTACACCGGCGATACAGCTGAATCCGACACCCACCAGACTTCGACGAACCTCCATTGGGCACCGGTGAACATCTAAAGAATAGATACTCTGACAAACCTCCAGCGAACGGATACTCAGCCTTCAAGTATACAATTTTTGTTTCTCCTTGCACCAAATTCGTTTTCCTCCAAAACAAATTTCGTATTTCTCGCATCTGAATTCTCCTATATGTTTGTTCAGTTAATTTATGTATGTATTTATTTTTATTTCTCCCATCTAAATTTGTTTTTCTTCCAGCAACCTTGATACGATATACCTGTGACTATGTATTTTTCATTTTTTCTAAAAAATGTTGAATACTCCAATCTATTTGCTGGGTACCGATTTTTGCAACTATTAATCCATTAAGTTCTTCATATTTATCCCATCTATATGTAACTATGTAGGTATTTTCAGTATTTCTTGCATCTGTTTGAATTTCTTGCATAGTTGCATATGTTCTTGATTTATGCAGCCAAAATGCTTATTGACTTGCTATTATCTAGTTGTTATGTTGACTTTTATGAGAATAAGAATTATGCTGATATCTAGTTGTTATGCTGATTTTTGAAGATGTGTTGTAGTTCAGGTGCACGTTTGTTGTGGTATTAACTTATTATGAATTTATGATTGATTGATTTCTGAAGATATATGTTGTGATGGTATGATTTATGGTGCATTTTTTGATGTATTTTTCTGGTGTATATAACAGTTTCCAATCATGAGATCCAAAAATTCAACTTCAACATCGGTGGGATCACCCGCGAGTGGTGTTCATAAACGGAACTTAGATGATATTGGTTGGGAATATGGTTTTTTCCCAGATAAAAATAAGATGGATACAATGAAATGTAACATGTGTGGAAAAGTGTTTACTGGGGGGTTACTAGATTGAAACAACATATTGGTCATGTGCCCGGAAATGTAGGTCGATGTCCAAACTCTACAAAAGATGATCAATTGAGAATTTGGAATTTTATTAATGAAGGGAAGATAAAAAAAAAAAAAAAAGAAATCTAAACACGAACACGATAAGGCCTTACGATCGGAGGCAATACAAGTGTTAAATGATAGTGTTGAAATGGATGAAATAGAAGATTCTTTAGGGTTGAAAGCACCAAGTTATATAGGTCCCATGGATGGCTATGCAAACAAAATAAACCATGAAATTATGAAGGGAAAAGGAAAAAAAAGTTGATCCTAATGATGCTGTTCGGAAAGAAAGAATTTTAGCATGTCATAAGTTCATTAGTAGGTGGGCATATAAAACCGCAATTCCTTTTCATACATTGGAAGATGATAGCTTCAAAATGATGTTGGAGGTTGTTGGCCAATTTGGAATAGGGCTCCCACCTCCTACTAGATATTCTTTGAGAGACCCACTTCTAAAGCATGAGGTTGAAAGAACAACAAGTCTGTTGAAAAAAATAAAGAAGAATGGAAAGAGATTGGATGCTCGATCATGACAGATGCTTGGTCTGATAGAAAGAAAAGGAGCATTATGAATTTATGTGTAAATTCAAGAATAGGTACCATTTTTATACCATCATAAGAATGTTCCAAAGAATCACATACAAGCCAATAAATATATGATTATGTGGAATCTTGCATTCAACAAGTTGGTCCCGATCATATTGTTCAATTTGTGACCGATAATGCCATGAATAACGTGGGAGCTGCAAAGTTACTACAAGAGAAAAGACCAACTATTTTTTGGACATCATGTGCGACACACACAATTAACCTTATGCTCGAAAGTATTTATATTTTTTTATTACATTATTTACTATTTTAGTTTTTTACATGTCTTATTTTATACTAGAGTTCGTTAATTTGTTATATAATATTTTTTTTCAAGGTATCGGTGGACTTATAAGGTTTAACAAAGTCTTAGATCAAATAAGAAATTAACCATCTTCATTTATGCTCACCACAAAACCTTGGGTATGATGAGAAACCACACCAAGAAAAGGGAAATTATCCGACCGGGAAGTCATGAGATTTGTGTCCGCCTTTCTAACATTACAAAGTTTATCCGAAAAGAAGGAGCAACTAAAAAATATGTTCTCTAGTAAGGAGTGGGAGGAATGCAAATTTTCTGGAACACAAGAGCCTCATATGGAACAGTGACAAGTCTTCAATTTTGGTCCGATGTGACACAATGTTGAAAATTGTTTTCCCCTTTGGTGAAAGCCCTTCGAATGGTTGACGCAGATTGGAAGCCCTCAATGGGTTTTGTTTACGGGGAGGTTAAAGTGGAAAAAGAAGAAATAATGAAAGCTTTGGGTGGTAACGAGAAAGCTTACAATTCTATTATAGATATCATAAACCACAAGATGAAAGGTAGGCTAAATTCATAATTATATCTACCGGCTTATCTTTTGAATCCTTATCATCATTATAAGGATTCCCAACGCCAACATGATCCTGACGTAATGGATGCGGTTTTTGAATTTTTTTTAATACATTACTTTGTGGAGATTTTGACATGCAAAGACAAGTCGTGATGATAGATTTGCTAAAATACAAGGAAAAAGTTGATAGATTTGGAGCGGATCTTGCAATTAAAGGTTGAATGGTGAACAATGCCGACTTTGATTCAGGGAATGTGCTTTATATTTATTTTAGTAATTTATAAAATAATAGAATTTTATATCTATCAATTTAATAATGTGTTTTTGCTTTAAATTTATTGCGAGATGGTGGGGACTTTATGGTGGCTCAACTCCTCATTTGAAAATGATTGCTATGAAGATTCTTTCTTTAACTAGTAGTTCATCGGGCTATGAAAGAAGTTGGAGCATGTCTGAAGCGATTAGTTATAAAGTTGTAATCAAGAACTTTTTAAATCTTTTGTTATGTGTACTTTTATAGGTACATACAAAGAAACGTAATAGATTGGAGACAAATAGATTGAACAATCTTGTTTATGTTCAATTCAATGCTAATCTAATGAAAAAAAACAAAAAGAGAAAAGATAGGACTTTGGAAGTGCTTTTAGCAAATGATTCTCACGTAGCTCAAGAATGGATGATAGATGGAGATGACGTTGTTGGAGATGAAGTTGACCCCGAATCAGTGATGGAAGCAACTGATGAAGCTCGTGGGACTAATAATAATCAAGTATCCCGAAAAAGTTCAACAGTGAGAGAACTTTTTAATGAAGATTTCGAATCCGACAATGATGAGTAAATGTTTGAAGAAGATGAATGAGTCGGATGGAGTTCGAATAGTGGAAGAACTTGAATATTAAATGAATATGGACATTTAAATATATGAAAATGTGTGTTTCTATTATTATTAAACTTATTTTGGACTTGTAATATGAGGGATTATGACTTAAATGTTTAAATACTAGTTATGACTTTTTTTATGGTTATTTGCTTAGTATATATTTAATTTTTTATTAGTAACTAATGGTTCCCGATTAATTCCCATCGAGACCGATTAATCACTTAACCCCAGTCGAATGTCGAGCTATCGTCAAGTGATTTCTGCAACCCTGATATTCCCCATCAGGAACATTCAAACCCACATTCAAATCTTCATAATTTTTTAAGATCCAACCGTGAACTCATTTATTCCAACCGTAAACCCAATTTTCCAACCAAAAATCAATTTACAACATTCTAGATAATTCCAATTAATTTTGTAAGTATCCCTTGCATAATTAATTTATTATTTAATGCATTATTTAAATTAATATCTTATTAATTTACATACGGCGTCGAATATAATTATTTTTAGGATAACGTTATTCGCGCGTACGCTTACTCGGGGATCATCTCTATACTCGCTAATTCAAGTTAACGCATATTTGAGGTGAGTTCATAGCCCTATATTTTCTACGTTTTTAATATTTCTAGGGGGGATACAAGTAAAACACAAGGACTTTTGTGTTTATTCAAACATTTTTAAATAGTTTAAAAACCTTTTCAATTGTTTCAAAACGAGCTTTCGCTACACTTCATAAAAATATTTTATATATTTTTAACCCTTTTGTAATATGTCGAGCATAAGGGTATTTGATTTCATACAATTAAACTGCAAATGTTTTCATTTCACTGCGGAACATAACAGTTAAACTATAAATGGTATAGTTTGAGATTTGCGACTTTATTTTACTATGTACTACACACGAAATGAGAATGTACAATCAAAGCTTTAATAGGTATAGTTTGGCAAACACTACTCTAATACATTGAAACAAGTATACGCAATTAAAATAATTATTTAAGTATAATTATTTTACAATACAAAGTACATTAATACAAGACAATACACACAGATTCTATACAAGATAACACTACAACACTACACGTAAACTAGTTAATACAGGGTTGTGAGGCACTAGTTCACTAGTATCCGCCAAGATACGAAACTAAATCCTATACAGTATAACCAGAGTCCCCTGGAGGGAGAGAGTGAGATTTGTGTATAGATCTATACGGGACTGACAATTCCACACATGAACTATTAACTACAGTTAGGCTGGCAGGCCTGGGGTGAAAAATATCATGACTTTCAGACCCTGAAGAACGTCTTAGAGGTCACTAGGTCATATCAAGCATGACTATATGAAACTCACAACAGTATAAACTAAGACATTTGTTTACGAGATTAACACTACTTCAATGGATTTATTTTAATTAATAAAACTGCAGTACACTATTTACACTACAGTTGGTAGTAACCACACATTCATACAAGGTTTTCATGTAAAAACTACTATGGTACATTACTTTACACTACAGTTGGTGAATACAAAGCATTCATACTAAGGTGTTTATACAAATGCTATTACAGTACACTACTTTCACTACAACTAGTGGTATCCAGGCATACATACAAAGGTTTACATACAAATACATATATAATACGTTGTTTTCCAATACTGAGTACACTAATACAATATACATTTACAAGGAACATACATGACTACATTACAATCACTGTAGAAAATATTGGATTTTCTTGAGAAACACACTAGTATTTTCAAAGTACAAAGACAAGTTTTCAAGCACTACAACATACTTATGAACTCACCAACTTAAATGTTGATACACTTTCATAATCACTTGTATTCTCAGGGAACCGATAACACATGTACACTTGCAGATTTTGAGAAGACAGAGCTTTTACAATCGCGTCTTTTATACTTTTGTTATACATTTTGATGTCATATCAATTATGTATTGAACAGATGTATACTTTACTTTATCAATGTAATGATTGTTTTTGCTTTAATTCCTATTATACAGTTGTTGTGACACTGTACATGATGTCCTCCACCCCCGAACGTTTCTGTCGTTCCGGTTCTGGGGTCTGACAATCCCGGGGCGACGAAGATGTACATAGATCTTCATCCTGATTATTGGTGGCCCTGCATGAAGCGGGATGTAACCTAATGTGTTGAAAGATGCCTGACCTGCAGGAAGGTTAAGGCCGAGCACTAAAGGCCTCACAACAAGAGATAACCGTTGGATATCCCTATGTGGAAATGGGAAGATATTACTATGGATTTCATCATGAAGCTTCCTAGGACTGCATAGGGAGTGGATTCGATTTGGGTCATCATGGATTGATTGACCAAGAGCGCCTATTTCATTCTGATCCAGGAGAGAATTTCGGCCAAGAAGTTGGCCGATATCTACATTTGAGAGGTTATAGCACGACCCCAAGTGCTAGTCTCCGTGATCGCTGACAGGGACGTGCGGTTTACTTCCAGATTCTGGTGGAAGTTTCGTGATGAGTTGGGTACTCGCATGCACTTCAGCACCTCTTTCCACCCGTAGACGGATGGTCAGAGCGAGCGAACCATCCAAACTTTGGAGGATATGTTGAGGGAAAGTGTTTTAGACTTTGGTGGTAGCTTGGATACCTACCTTCCTTTGGAGGATGTTTCCTACAATAATAGCTACCACGCGAGTATTCACCATCCTCCCTTCGATATGTTATATGGGAGGAAGTGCAGAACCCTGATATTATGGGCTGAAGTTAGGCAGAGGGTTATGGGGAGTACCAAAGTGGTACTAAAGATGACAAAGAGGATCCAGTAGGTTTGGAGCAGGCTTCAGAATGCTCAGAGTCGGTAGAAAAGTTATGCCGACAGGCGTCGTTCAGACTTGGAGTTCCAGGTCGGGGATATGGTCTTCATGAAGGTGTCACCTTGGAAAGGTGTCATCCAGTTCAAGAAGCGGGGAAGTTGGGCCCATGTACATCGGTCCTTTTAGGGTTGCAGCATGGGTGGGCAAGATGACGTATAGGCTGGATCTGCCAGCCGAGCTTAGCCAAATTCATAGTACCTTTCATGTTTCCCAGCTACGGAAGTGTCTGGTAGACGACTCTGTAGTGGTGCCTATAAAGGATATTTACGTGGATGACAGTCTGAACTACATCAAGCGACCAGTACACATCCTCGACATGAAGTTGAAAGATATGAGGAACAGGAGGGTAGAGATGGTGAAGGTCCAATGACAACACCACAAGGGCTCATAATGGATTTGGGAGCCGGAGGATGAGATGAGGGAGCACTATAGCTTTTTCCAGATGCAGCAACAGACTTTGAGGGCAAAGTATAAAATAAGAGGAGGAGAGTTGTAACACCCATTTCCTGGTACGTATTTTAAATAGGAATTTTTGGATTTTTACACAAGGAATTAACGAGTTGGAGACCCTAACTTGTCGAGTAGTTGCGAATCTTGGATGTGGGTGGAAGAGTCTACTCGCCATGTCGAAATCCTCGAGTCGACGAGTAGATCTGTCTGGATGAAACCATAAATATTAGTGTTTGCATCCTATTTAAGCAACTTATATGGCATCCACTCCAGCCTCCATCACCCTCAGACCCTATTCTCGAAACCCTTATAAGTTTGTGAGTATTCTTGAGCTTTTGAGCCATCTTGTGCGTTTTTGAAGCTTGAGAAGAAAGAGGAAGCTTGGGAGATCAAGAGGAATCAAGTAGATCTAGATATTTTGTCACATTCCTAGCTCATTTGAGGTAAAAAGTCTATACTTTGTTCATTCATTCATTAGATCTCTCCATGGGGTAGTTTAGGGCCATTTGGAGCTCATTATGTAACCATTCAAGGATATAAGCTTGTGTTTGTGTTAGGACTTTGGATCGAGAGTCTTAGAGGGACCCCATAGCATAAATGTGCCAACTTTATGGCCATGGGAGTCCTATGCATCTTATAGAAGACTTTTTAGGACATTATGGACTAGTTAACCCATGCATGCACGTAAAGTTTATAACTTTACATGCTATATCGACCTTAGGTGGTCAAATATATGTTCTGGATGCATTAAGCTCGATTGAAATCAAATGGATATACTTTGACTTTGGGGGACTCGACGAGTCGTTCATAGGACTCGGAGAGTCGGGTCATGGATCCGCAACCTTTTCTATTTCTAAGCATTTTGGTTGAGTCTAGAAGAGGAATCAACAAGATGGATGTAAATGTGGACTGGAAGATCAAAGAACTCGACGAGTTCAAGGATGAACTTTGCGAGTTCAAGGCAATGTCCTGATTGATATGAAGAAGAACTCTACGAGTCAAGGATGAGCTCAGCAAGTTATGAGCAAAGGGTAGCGATTTTGTACGAAGGAGAACAGGACAAGTTCTTGAAAGACTCGACGAGTAGGATTGAAGTTCTAGTATTTTGTGGATCATAGGACTCTACGATTTGGTGGACCAACTCGACGAGTTGGTGGACCAACTTGGCGAGTTGAGTCAACCAGATGTTGACTTTGACCAAGGTGTTGACCTTGACTTTGACTTTGACTTGAGTTGCCCCTTGAGAGGGTTAAGAGTATGTAATGGTAATTAAGGAAGGTTGTTATGTGTATGTGTTTGAGAAGAGTTGATCCCAACATCGAGGACAGTTCAGTTACTGCACGATATTGAGGTGAGTTACCTTCCAATAGAAGTGGGTCTAAGGTCACAATACCGGCCTGTTAGATGATTGTCTTTGTGTTAATTATCTGGTATGCCACTATCTGTTATGCCTTATGTGCTAGGATGCTATATGTGTTAGTAGTAGTAAGGGCGAAATAGTCTCCGGTTACTGATTGAAAGATACCGAAGGGGTATACAGTACCCAAGCATGTCTAGCTATATGTTCATATTATGTTATTATGTAGTAGTGGTAGGGGTGAAATAGTCCCCGGTTACCGGTTGGAAGATACCGAA